ATTATTTTCTCGTTATCATGTCATCCCAAATCCGTACTAATTGTTTCTGTTAAACACAAAAATGGACATTTTTGAACAATCATTAAACATAAGCTCTAAAAAACGTGCACCATATTCTAACCATGCATATGAATTTACATACTAAGTAGGTTCATTTGAATAAAAATATTTGTGACTATTAAAATGTTCTAAATAGTATGTATATCAGTGAAATCCGGATATACATCCACCATAGAGTCATTGTCATGTGACTGTCAGTGTCGGTGCCTTATTTTACTGCCATTCACAACTCCTCTCCCGTGGCCTAATGGGGTAGTAAAGTGTTCATCAAATGCTCACTTAAGAATCTTGGCAGTAGTAGTAGGTCATCCAAGCACTTTTTGCCTAATCTTTTATAAATGTTTGCATTCATATAACGACTTTTCACGTACTGTTTTTCCCCAAAAATAAACATAAATCACAATTTTTTGAAGAATCATTGGCTCTAACTATAGAACATTCACCTACCAAATACTATACTTTTGCATTCTCTTCTGTTATTGAAAAATTGTTGCTTTAATTACCTTGAACAAAAATGAAAACCTTTAACAAAAATTTAGAAATGTATCAATTCTCATTTGCTACATAAATCTACAACATTTTTAAAAAACATGAAATATTAAATATTTTCTGTCCATGATCAGATCAAGGATCAGGCAAATTTTCCAAAAATTAGTCTAGTAGTTTAAAAGAGAATACAGTCAAATGCACCTTTTACCCCAGTACACCTTTAACTATATTGATATATATCGATATTATAACTATATATATTATAACTATATATATCGCCTCGTACAAATTAGTCGTGAGAGCATGTTGGACATGTCATTTTTAAATTATGGACATGAACATATAGGCTAAACATGAGTTCTATGGGAAGGCAAGATTACCTGTAAATAATCCTAAATGTCAGCCTGTCCATCACACAAATCTTTTTTGTAATTGGCACTATGAACTGTTCTAGAGTTAGAGCCAATGATTCTTCAAAAATGTGCGATTGATGCTTTTTTTCTTTTTTTAAACTGAAAAAACATACAACAGAATTTTTATTTTTGTGAATGGATTTAATTTTTGTGAAAGGATGTGAATTATCATTTTTGTGTGAAATGTGCCTTTAAAGGGCTAAGGATGTGTTATTTCATGTGTACAACATTTAGCGACTTGTGTTTTATACGTGCTGCTGCTGTTTCAAGCAGCAGTCTGTTGTATCTGCATCACTACCCTTGCATTGTGTCAGCTGATAGATACTAATATGTAAAATGTGTTGCCTTTAACCCCCTCAGGACCTGGCAAATTATTTGCTTCAGAGGCCAAGCAGGGTTGGTAGAATTCTAATCATGTGTGCTGAATCCCAAGCTCGGCTCAGGCTGCGATTCTTCCCAATCACAAAGGAAAAAAAGCATGAGGCATGAAGAAAACAACCCAAATATCCCCCAAAGACCCTGTCACGTCTCTCATTCAAAGTAGATACATGCTAGTATTGCTACATAGGAGCTCCAATGCTTCTGGTCAACAGATCATTTCACTGTCGATCTTTCTCTCTCTCTCTCTGTTTTGAAATGAATGTCTGAGTGGACACAGACATTTCCCCAATCCAAGCCTCTCCTGGTGCAGTGTTGAAAAGATATGTGTGTTTGTGTGTGCATCTCACCCACTTGATTGTGCCGTAGAACAGTGTGAATGAGAACGCAGCATGCAGCGGACCGGCAGCATCTGCACTGTAAAGGACTCCCCTTGCTCACTCCACTCACACGTCCCTCTGTTGTTTTCATGGGGAGAGAGAGAGTTACTGAGGAGCCGTGGCTTCAGCAGGCCAGCAGATGTTCAGTTCACTAAAGGAGGCCGGGATGGACTGAGAAACAGGCTCTGGTGGTCCAACCAGAATGACAAATTTGATTCCCTGGATGAGGGCCCACAATTTGTTGAACAGATTGCCGAGCGGTGGCGTGATTGGATGCTGTGCGGACTGATTTTGTAACGGACTAATCTAAGAGCAAGTTTTGTGTTCTCCGTCATGAACGGAAAGCCTGTTGATTGGCTGACAGGAGGACAAAACTCAAACCAGAGCTTTAGCTCAATTGCATCAGTCTGTTTTCTTATCTGATCTGAGGCTGTTGTTATCACACAGGCTGCCACCTCTGGTCGTCTGTCACTTACCTGCGTCCGATTATCTTCAGGCTAATCAGAGGTCGAGGATTAACCGAAAATGATTCAATCAGCAGTCAGGAATTAAGCCATCTTCATTCAAACAGATCTGGACTGTGTCAAGCTCTGTTTTGTTTACAAATACTCCATCATAACCGTTTTTATTCAACAAGATCACGATCATTGTCAACTTTGGCTCATGAATGATTTTGTCCAGTGCCCACTTATAAATAAGTTCACACAAAAAAAATATTCTGGCATCAATTGCTCAACATGTAACATTGGGTGCAGATGATTAAGATGAGGATTCAAAAGGTTACAAAACAAAGATATTTATTATAAAACAAACCCAAATAGTCCACAGATGGAGAATAGTTAACGTGACTGCATGTAAGGCATGCAACATGACATCATGACTTTTGCGTAAACATACACGCCACTTTCGAGTCAAGTCTACGTATTTTGAGCTATCCGCGTGCATCCGCGTGTATGTCTACGCCATTAACGTCCGAGTGATTCCGCGTGTCTGTACACGCCGTTAAATGTCCGCTCGAAACGAAGCAAAATGTTGATCTACATCTTGGGAGCGATCTTTTTTTTTTCCTAGGATGGTAAGGGAACAGTAATAAATGCCATTAACCCCAGTGACGGTTAGGTTTAGGGACGGGGTTGGGGTTGAGGTAAGTCATATATTTATATATACAGTAATAACGCTAAGTCAACGGCGTTCATAAACACGCTGAAAAACGATTATGCGTCTTGATAGCACGCCAAAAATGGAAATACGAATTGGCGTGTCATACACACGCTACTTCATGAGATCAGTCTGAAGACATGACAGTACCAAGTGAGCACACAGAGCGTTAGAGAGAAACTCAATATACAGATTGTGGCAGAACGGCCCCTTTCTGGAAGGCGCAGTCTAACGCCATGATGGATGGCTCAAATGGAAAAATGGTGGATGTTCAGGAGGTGGACGAGTAACTGGTGAAGTGCTAAAAACCCATAGGGTGGTTGATGGGAGGAACCAGGGCAGAGAAGATGGCTGATTGGAGGAACTCTGGAGTTGTTGACAGTGGGAGGAGCCATGGAGAACATGATGGTGGAAGGGCCCATGGAGGAGTGGGTGGCCGACCAGATCCCAGAGCAAGATGGATCAGGTTTGCATGGCAGGGCTGATGGTGGATCTGAGGGGTTGGAGGTGGAGACTAGGGAATGGCTGGCTTCAGTTGAGTATGTAGAGAGTTAGACTGTGATAGACTGTAATGAAGCAGGTTTGGTGATGGACTGAGCTGGTGGCGATGGAGAACACTATGTGAAGGACAGGTCTGGATAGGAGCAGCGGAAATGATGACGAAAGAAGTAATGAACATTCATTAGTGCTGGTGGGGACCAGTGACAGAGAAAGTTTATGGGTGGGCAGGGTGGGAAGCACTAACTTCTCCCAGTCTATCAGCTATTCCCTAGAGTCCAGATCCATAAAAAACCCTACTGTCACAGATGTTATGGCAAGCTCACACACCTGGTCAGCCAGGACCTTAGGCTTTGCTTTTGGGACGGACTTGGCAACTGGCCCTGGCTCTGTTGAGGGCTTTGGCTCAGGTTCTATGTTCATGGTGGGTAATGGCTGGGTCTCTCGGTCTGCAGTGTCTGCTTAGCAGCTCAGGGAGATGCAATAATCTGTTAATAATGGCTTTTATGGAGGAGTCTGCATAAAAAAAATCACATAATGTATGGTTTAAACTATATAAATTCTGTCATTGTTCAATCTGTTATTGTTCAATTTAAATGATTCAGATTCAAATAATGACAAAATTTCCATATCTGAGAGAGTATTGTTCCTTTTAAGTTTTCCTTCAAGCTTTCTTTAATGCATTTTAATTAAATATGCATATTGTTTCAAAGAAGCTTTACAGAAATTATATTTCAGAATTGTACATGGAAAAATACAGTTAGTTAATATTAATTTAGGGCATAACATATCACCGGCGTTTAGTCGTCTCTTCAAAGGCGTCGAGTCGTCTCTTCACAGGCGTTTAGTCATTTCATCGCAGTTGTTGGGGCATCTGAAGTCTCAGTGAGAGAATGAAAGTGCCTCACCTCAAACAAAAACCAAGTGTTTTTATTTTTGACGAGTTTCTGTATTTGTATGCCAACTGATTTTTAATCAAATATAGATGAAATAATTCCATTAATGTGTGAACAAAATCTAATTCATTACATTTGGAGATAAAAGGGCTTCAGAATTGGCTTTCAGATCCAATTAAATGTTTCACTTTTCGTGCCATGTTTAATTCATAGGTGTGGGGGTTGCTTCTTTGTTGCATGGTAAACTATAATTTTCTAAATTCAAGTCATATGTCAAGGTGCATGTTCATGCAAATTCAGTAATGGACCTTTCATTTAGTAATTTGAGAACAGTAATATGTGTTAGCAAATACTATTTATCAGTAATGGATGCCATTATTTTTGCTCGGCAACAAATCACTGGCTCATAAATGATTTATTTGTCAAGTGATGCATTTCTGCTCTTACCAACAACTTAGGAAACTAACAAGAGGGGGCGCCAGTAAAACAAATGGGTAGCTACTTTTCATTTGAACATCAAAAAACACTATTGTCATTTGTTAAGAGTTACTGAATAAGCTTGAATCATATCTACGATTCAGTAATATATGATTCTCATTAAAAGGTCTGTAATTTCAACTGATTTAAGACATGCATTATATTTGTAGTTTTCTCTGTCTATATTATGAATGTACAAAAAAGACTCAAATGGCACTGATGTGTGTTACTGTACATGGTTGACTTTTCAGGTCTAGGTCCGTGCGTTCCTGGATCCATTTCAACATGGCTGTATTACGAAGAGTAGTTCTGACCGGCAGGTGTTATTACCGCACTTCATTTGCAAGGTAAGTGACTATGGGCTATGACAGTGGTGGAATTAGTAATGCGCTCCCGCTGTCATTTTTATCAACAGGGCCTGCTGGGAGGACGTGATAAAATGGATATTCCACCATCTGCATTAATACCCTCTGCCCCACTTTCAATTCCATTTACTTACCTGAGCACAGAACGAGGAATTTTACTATCGATTGCCGAGAGCTTGTGGCAGATTCTTGCACTAATGTGTTGATTTTAGTGCTGAAAAACCTCACATCCACTGGATTAGATTTGAAAAATAATTTCTCTCTTTTTTATTGCAATTTATTTTTCTTTTAGTTATTAGGAACAAGGGATACTTAGTGCAGAGATGTGGTACCATCACTTGAATGTGGAAGTAAATGTGAAGGAATCTTACAATACACATCATCAGTGATTCCATTGTCTCATATTATAGGATTGACCAGGGCTAGTTGTCACACCTTCGTGAATATTTCTAAGGGTAGGTTTATTTTTTAAAGGTGCCATATACAATAATTGAGGTAACAATATACGAAAAATGAGCTACCCGCATCAAAAGAATGAGAAGAAATAAGTGCAAAGATGTCATTAAAAAACTGACAAGTTATAGTGCTGCCGAGATATTAACCTGAATTAGCATGCTAAATTACTAGCCCCGGCCCGGCAGGTATCGTAATACCAGTTCCGGCCATGGGAGGCGGTATGCGGACGGGCAACGTTAGCACCAGCCAAACTGCAATACGCGAGTGAGTCGCGCTCGCGCTGGCTTGTGTGTGTGTGTGTGTGTGTGTGTGTGTATGTGTACTTGAACCTGATGTCAGTCGTGTGGAAATACAGCCCACTACTACATTTCAGTTCAGGGAAGAGTTCAAAAAATGATTGGTCGACATTATGCATGAGGAATACATTTTGGTAAGTTGTAGCATACTGTATCTTTCAACAGAGTTCATGTTCTTTTTCCAGCTAGTAGAGACGATCGGTTCACGTGCGCTAGGGATCTGTTGTGTAGCATGTACAAGCGCCAAAACGGTATTTATTCTTTGAATTGCGTAATATAATTGACAGAATCTGAGAGCTTAACTAACCTGCTTGCTAAGTGTCAATTGCGTGTGTCTCACGGTGAATTCACGGCGCTAGCTTGATCAACATCAGCGAATGCTGTCTGTCAAATTAATTCACTAACAATAAAAGTGTAATATGAACAAAACGAATACCATAAACTTCAAATAATTGCCCAAGCTTTTATTTTCCCATACCGTCGAAATGCACCAGCTTGTTTTTGAGATCTATGAGGCGGTCTTCATCATTTAGTGTTGAGATTCATAGTGTTTAGTTTAGTTCACTCTAGTGTTTAGTTCATTGAGTCTCTGATCTCTAAAAATTTCCAAATGTTCCACGTGAAACTGCGGTCTTCCAACCTTTTACTATCATGTCAAATGATTTGAATAACATGCGCGATGGTAGGAGCACAAGTCATTTTTTGGAGGTATACTGCCCCCATCTGTTATGGAATATGGAGTAGGATTTGATTTATTATGGTAGATGGCACCTTTAAAGTAAGTTAAACATCAATTTGGGACATACTCTTAAGACAACAACAACAAAAAAAAGGAATAATGTGTATAATGAGTATATGGGGTAAGTTGTCACAATTGATCCTTCAATTAAATGGTTTGTCAGTATTTAAAAAAATAGTTTATTCAGCAAGGATGCAAGTTGAAAGGTGACAATAAAGACATTAAACATTTAAAATAAAAACTATACTTTTGAACTTTCTGTTCATCAAAGAATCCTGAAAAAATGTTTGAAAAACTTTTACATTGATATTTCTTGAGCAGAAAATCAGCATATAAGGATTTCTGAGAGATCATTTGACATTGAAGAATTGCTGCTGAATGACTAGATTACAAACCACATACAATTTAAAAGTTATTTAAACTTGTTGTTTCACAATATTATGTTTTTATACACTTTTTTTAATCAAAGAAATGCGGCTTTGGAGAGCATAATAGAACGCATTAAATCTTACCCACCCTAAACGTTTGAACAGTCGTGTATTTTACAAATTCCGATAATTTATAACAATTTAAACATGATAACTGGACCTTTATGAAAAACACCCATGTTATTGTTGCACATTTTTTGCAATTGAATTAACAACCTCCCCATGTGACAACTAGGTCTGATCTCCCCCATGTGTTTGGTGATTGTCATCACAACAGAGTGATGCTACTGGTTCAGCATTAGAGGCCAGTGATGCTTAGTAACAGACACAGCTGCAGCTTACAAGCTGGGTGGGGGAAGCAAATCAATGTCCATTGACCCAACGGTTCTCTTTCTGCTAAAGTGACTGACCAGAGAACAACATAAGCTGTTCTGCACTGCCCTTGTGTTTAATATAACTACGCTTCATTCGTTTAAAACAAAACTCACAGCAGGGACTCGCCATTTATGAATCAAAATAGGGAATTAAAAGGGTTTATTTTTAACCAAATAACGTGCACTCAAATGTACACTCATGAAACATGTTTGTAATATGATTAATTCTTAACAAGTGGAGGTCAGTGATGTGCATTGTGCATCAGTGAGGTTCACATCAGTAAATGAGTAAAATGGTGAAAAGCAATATTTAAATATGCATGTGATATGGAGATAGATCGATGGTGGGTCAAACTATTAACTACTTACTATTCAATTATTAATGACAAAATGTTAAAAAAACATCGCCGCCTATGTTTACCTGCACAATTCTGGGACGAGAGCATCAGCTGTGGACAGAGCTTTGGAGGAAACGCTTTAGGGATTTGAACTGGAGGCCTTGGTCTCATAAGTCCCTGTCATAAGCATTGCAATATTCAACATTTATGAGGTTCTGATTTATGAGCTGGCAACCACATAGGTCACTCTTGTTTCTTGAAAAGCATCGTGACGTCTTCACGTTGTGAGTCTAGAGGCCTCACATTATCTACTTCATTTTGAACCCACGTAGATATTTATAGTTCACTCAAAAACGAAACATGACATTCTAAACACATAAGAATTTCTGTTTTCTATGGAATGTTACAGGTGATTTTTTTGAAGAATATCCTGGCATTTTATATAATGAAAGAACATGAAAATAGCTGTCAACCTCCAAAATAACAAAAAAAAAAGAAAGATAAATGAAAGTAAAAGTGTTTTCCAAGTCTTCTGAACTACCACCTTTTGAAATAGCTTTGTGTGAGGAAAAGGTCACTACTGAAAATCTTGACATTAATAATATCTCTCCGTTCATCAACAGTTGCGATGATGTCTGATTACAGTAGTTTACGAATTAGAGTGATCCAGTTTAAATTCAACTCAGTGATTTGGGGATTTGAAATAACTGTTTTCCATTTTAGATTTTAAAATATAATTTATAACAAACCTGAATTTTCAGCAGTCATCCCTCTAGTCTTCAGTGTCACATTATCCTTCAGAAATCATTATAATAATCATTATCTAACTGCATGTGTTTATTAAAAACTAAACAACAACCAGGAGCACATAAATCCACATGAAATAACACCTGACAAACAATAAAGCCCCGGCCCTTTTCAGCGCTGAGCTCGTTGTCTTGACTTCCGGTCTGTATTTTCATAGCGATCTTGCATAGGTATGAATGAACTGCTCGTAAAAAAATTCCCGGTCTACATTTTTTAAGACATCTGCTTTACAATGCTTATGATATACATTACAATGCTCATCATGATAACTTTTGTTAACTCTACATTAGGTAAATCCACTTCACCAGCTAATTACTCCTCGACAGCGATGCCATAGAAATATACAGAGCGACCGCAAAAACGGAAGTTCAAAGACAATATTAATATGACGGCGCCCACGTTTCTCTGGTGCATGGTCTATATATACACAAGACAAGTGCTAAGTAACAAAGGTAATACACATCAGTGAACTGATCAACATGAAAAACTGCAAAAGGACTACAAAGATGACAGACAGAACAGGAAACAGGAATTATAATAGGTATAATAAAAGTTCAGGGACACCCAAGGGGGTAATCCATTGACCGTAAGTTGAAGCCTCGCGGGAGCTGCCATCTTGTAGCAGAACTTCACTTGCGTTAGCATTTCCATTGACTCCCATTCATTTTGGCGTCACTTTGACAACAAATAACTTTACATCTGAGGCGTTTGAAGACCCCATTTGTCCTTTATTTATTTCTAAAGAAACACAACAATGTATAAAATGCTCCATTACCTTGTAGCATATGTTATGGCCACGTAGAAGCATTTTTTTTGTAAAAGTAGGCTAACGATTGCATCATACCCACGCGACTCTCTGTCGCACAGTAGAGAGATTACCATATGGACAGGAGAAGAAGCTCGCGTGCAATCGGGGAAACGTGGAGGCAAAATGACAAAATAATTAATCAGAATACCTAGCAAAGGTTTCTCTTGCTCCTAGCTTATGGAGAGCTCCTACTCTCACACTCCGCCTCTGCAAGTTTCGGAAGGGAATGATTCAGATTTCTCATGCCACAGCCACTAGAAGACATACAGGTTTGCCACGTCACATCTACGTCAAGCTCTGTTTGAGTCGGTTTGAGTCTGCGCGTCAGGAACGGAAGTGCTAAAAAATCGCCACAAACGGGCTTCACTTGTCAGTGGAGTTCCAATGATTTTGGTCTGTCCACTTCTTATACTGTCTATGAAAAACATAGAGAACATAATACAATAATATGCTGATGTGATGCTCAAGAAACATTTCTTATTATCATCAATATTGGAAAATTGATGTGCTGTTTAATATTTTTTTGAAACCGTGTTTTTTCTGGGTACTTTGATGAATAGAACGTTCAAAGAAACAGCATTCATTTTAAATACAAATTTTTAGTAACATAAATATCCTAAATGTCACTTTTGATCAATTTATTCCATCCTTGTTTAATACAATTATTCCTTTCTTTCAATAAACAGAAATAAAATAAATAAAAATGTACTGACCCCAAACTTTTGATAGGTAAATT